CCATCCCATCCCCATCCCTATCCCCATCCTATCCCCATCCCATCCCATCCCATCCCATCCCATCCCATCTCCCTCCCCTGAGGCTCCCGCATGGCAGGGGGGGTGGACGGGAGGATGAAGCCCCCCCTTTTCCACCCCTCTCTCGTCCCCCCCAGGAGGTCACCACCGTTGTCTGCGTCTCCCGTCACCGTTACTCCAAGTACGGGGGCGTCCACCTGGCCCTGCTCCAGCCAGGGAACTACTCGGCCAAGGTCCGGGCCACCTCATTGGCCGGCAACGGCTCGTGGACGGGGCTCGTCAAGTTTTACATCCTCGGGCCAGGTACCCACGGGTGACAGGGGGGACACCGGTGGGGTCCCAGGGGCAGGCAGGGAAGGGGAGCTGTGGGGCTGGGACGCTGAGGATCAGGGGATGCTCCTGGACCAGGATACTGGAGATGAGGGATACTGCTGGGCTGAGACGCTGGGGATCGGGGGATGCTGCTGGACTGGGGAACTGAGGGACTGGGGGATGCTGCTGGACTGGGATGCAGAGGATCAGGGGATGCTCCTGGGTTGGGGAAGTTGGGGACTGGGTGGGGGATGCTGCTGGACTGGGATGCAGAGGATCAGGGGATGCTCCTGGATTGGGGAACTGGGGGATTCTGCTGGACTGGGATGCAGAGGATCAGGGGATGCACCTGGACCAGGACACCGAAGATGAGGGATACTGCTGAACTGGATAGCTGGGGATCAGGGGATGCTCCCAGACTGGGATGCTGCAGACAGGGGCTGCTGTTGCATTGGAAAACTGGAGGACCAGGGCATGCTGCTGGATTGGGGGATGCAGAGGATGGGGGGATGCTCTGGGATGGGGACACCCAGAGATGAGTGGGTGCTGCTGGTCAGGGGAGCTGGGGGTCCCCCTCTCTGGTCCAGTGGTGGTGGTGGGACAAGTGGCCCTGTGATGTGTGGGACGGGATGAGTGCCCGGGCCCTGACCCATGGCCACCCGCTCCCCCCAGCTGAGGAGGAGTCCGGCAGCTTCTACGTCCTGCTCACCGTCACGCCCGTGGTCCTCATGGTGCTCATCTCCTGCCTCGCCATCTTTGTCTTCTTCTACAACAAGAAGAGGTAGCGATCCCCCCCCTCCCCGTACTGGGCTGGGGCCCAATCCAGCTTGAGGGAGGACTGGGGAAGGGTTGTGAGGGGGTGGCATCGTGCCCTTGTCCCCCCGTCCTCTGAGTGATGCCCACCCCTCGCAGGAGCAACGATGGGTATCCCAGTGGGACGCTCTACGCCTCCGTTAACCCCGAGTACTTCAGTGCCTCGGACAGTACGTAGGGATGGGCAGGGGCGTCCCCGTGGGGTCTGTTGCACCCTTCCCTTGCTGGGGCCATGCTGGCGGGGATGGGGATGGGGTGGGAATGGGAAC